AAAAAATCAAGAATTGGCTGGAGGGAAGGCCTGAATGAACAACCATGTTTTTAATTGGGTTTTAAAGATGCCCAGCGTAGGGGCCGCGTGAATCTCCGGAGGGAGGTTGTTCTAGAGGCGAGGAGCCACCACCGAGAAGGCCCGTTTTCGCGTCTTCTCCTTCCGGGCCTCTCTCGGCGTCAGACTCCTCAGCCTCACCTCCTGACTCGCGCAGGTGATCCGGGTAGACCTTGGTGGAAGCAGGCGTTCTGCCAAATATCGAGGTCCTAAGCCATTTAGGGCCTTATAAATAAGCATTAAAACTTTGAAGTTGATGCGGAAACAGATGGGCAGCCAGTGCAGTGCGGCCAGCGTTGGAGAGATGTATTGGAATTTTCTCACTCTGGTAAGGAGTCTGGCCGCCGCATTCTGCACCACCTGAAGTCTCCGCATCAGCCTCAAAGGCAGCCCCATGTAGAGCGCGTTACAGTGGTCTAATCTTGAGATTACGAGCACATGCACCAAGGTAGTGAGCGCCCCTGTGTCGAGATAGGGTCACAGCTGGGCAATCCGCCAGAGATGAAAAAAGGCGGTGCGGACTACCGACGCCACCTGGGTCTCCATGGTTAGTGTCGGGTCCAGATGTATGCCCAGGCTGTGAACCCCGCTCTTTGTGGCCAAGGTGACCCCCCAAATGAGAGTCACCCAAGCCATCTGCCAGAGGGGCACCCACCCTCAGTACTTCCGTCTTATCTGGGTTCAGCCTTAGCCCGTTCTCCTGCATCCATTGCCGTACGGCCCCCAGGCAGCACTGGAATGACAGGACAGCATCACCTGCAGTTGGTAAAAAGGAGATGTAGAGCTGGGTGTCATCAACATATTGATGACACGAAGCCCCACATCCCCTGATGACCCCAGCCAGCGGCCTCATATAGATGTTAAACAGCAATGGGGAAATGATCCACCCCTGTGGAACCCCACAATTGAGACTCCACGGGGCCGAGACGCTCTCCCTAAGCTGTACTCTCTGGGGACGTTCCCCCAGGAAGGAATGGAGCCAGGCAAGTGCCGAGCCACCAATTCCCAACTCGGAGAACCGCCCCAGGAGGATACCGTGGTTGACGGTATCAAAGGCCGCCGAGATGTCGAGGAGGACCAACCAAGAAATTTTTCCCCTGTCGGCCTCCCTCAAAAGTCATCGTACAGGGCGACCAATGCCGTCTCTGTACCGTGGCGCAGCCTGAAGCCCGACTGAAATGGATCCAGGGCATCCGATTCATCCAGGTATGCTTGAAGCTGATCGGCCACCATCCTCTCGACCACTTTGCTCATGAAAGAAACGTTGGCGACGGGCCTATAATTGCCAATTTCGTCCGCCGCCAAACTAGGTTTCTTTCTAATGGGCCTAATGAGTGTCTCCTTGAGGGCAGATGGAAATCTGCTCTCCAGGAAAGACCCATTAATTATTACCGTGGCCCATTCTGTTGTTATCGGCCTGGCTGCTTTGATTAGCCAGGCCGGGCAAGGGTCAAGGGAGGAGGTGGTGGCTCGACAGCGATCAAGCACCCTGGCCACAGTATCAGGTGTTGCAGGCTGAAAGGAATCAAAAGTCACTGGGAAAGACGGAGCGCTGGACATCTCTGTTCGATTCACTGTAAATACTGTCTCCAGAACTTTTAAATAGCTTCTGGTTGGTTTCATCTAAATAGCAATGGAGAATCTCAGCCTCAGGCAGCTGTTCTGCTTGCCGTTCCTGACCCTCTGTGCTAGCTGCATTTGTATTCTGAGTTACAGTTTTGCCATTCTCTGAGGTAACTGTTTTGCTGCACGTAGTACACTGACTTAGGCTTTAGTAAATTTGCCTTTTGACCCCCTTCTTTAGCTTTAGCACATTGTGAAATGAAATGGCCTTTCTCTCCGCATCCAAAACAAGATTTGAAGTTTATCTGTTCTGGGCTAAGGGTTTTACCTCCCTTCCCTTCCCAGTTCTTTTTTTGATGCTGGCTCAGTTCTGTGGACTTGCCTACAAAATGGCCGCCACTTGCATGCTGGCTCTTGAAGTAACCCTTGGGCTCCTTTTTACTGTCATCCCAGGTTTTTCTTCCCATTTTTACCTCAGAAAAATTTGGGTTTCTAATATGTGAAATAAAATCTGCGACCCCTCCAGCTTCCTCAACGTCTTTGGGCTTTTTATATCACCAGGTACCTCAGGTCTCTCGGTAGAAGAGAATAGAACTGCGCTAGCCCCGTGATGTTCTTAATATCTTACACAGTTTCAACTCCTTGTTGAAGGCATTTGTCAAGATATTTGATCAAGTTTGCTCCCAATTGAAAGTAGGATTCATCAGGGTTTTTTTTTCAGTGCCCCGAACTTCCGCCTCAAATGCTCAGCATTGATGCCAAACCATGAGGATACCAACTTTTTAAATTCTTCAAAATCTCTCACTAAATCCAATGACATCTGGACGTATACATCCGCTAACTCGCCACTTATCTAAGACCTCATCACAATCATACGTTCTGATCCTCTCACTTCAAACTCTTCACACGCACGCTCAAACATAATCATAAAAGATTCAGGATCATCGCCCTTTCTAAATACAGGGAACCTTTTAAGGTCTTCCTTGGACAGCTTGTATGCAAAGGAACAGAACGGAGGGAGCATGTGAGCCCAAGATTCATGACTGACAGTTCTTGAATGACTGCTATGCAGTTTCTCACTAAAACTCAGACTGTGTCCTAGTCTGGATGTAACATTAAAACACGGTGGGAAGGTAACGGCATTCCATGTGTAGTCACGCTGGCCACGTGACCATGGAAACTCTACGGACAAACTCTGGCTCTACAGCTTGGAGAAGAGGATGAGCACTGTGCCCTAGAGTCGGACAGACTGGACTAAATGTAAAGGGGAACCTTACCTTACCTAAACATTATATATATGGGGCTGTTTCTTCCCCTCAATATGGCTGAGAGGAGGAGATGCAAAGCATTTGCAATTAATGCTGACCAGTCATAGACTAGACTGTGTCCAAGCCTGGGAAAATGATAGTTTTAATTATGATGTGCCTCAATAAGCAATTCCAGCTGCGGTTCCATTCCAGGCTTTTGTTTTCTTTTGTTTTGCTTTGGGTGAATCATAAAACTAACGTGAGTTTGTCTGGCTTTGTAGATGATGATACTACTGAGATTTGACTCCCAGAACTGAAGTCTACAAAAGGCTTCTGAAGATGAATTATACTTAGTTTTCTCTTTGTTATAAGATAAGCCTGTGGCTGATAGCCAAGGTCTTTTCAAAAAAACAAAGCATGCACTTGTCACCTCTGTTCATGTCACTTTCTAGTAATTTGTCTCTTCCCATCATATTGAAAAATTTCTTCATCAAGATAATATTCTTGATATTACTTGAGCTCATACTAAAACTATCTTTACAAGTATTTTTTCACCATCTTGTATTACTGTTAATACAGGTCACAGAGTTATTCACAGTTCAAAAAAGTGACAGAGAAAAATGCCAAACAAACCTGCAAGTACAGGAAAAAGAACTGGAAGACACTCAGAAGCACCTGGAAACAACCAACGTTCGTCTTGCTGAAGATGTGGCTTCAACTTTGGAAACCACAGAAGAAAAACTTCATGGCACTGCTACCAAGGTTATAGAATATATTTCCCCAGATTAGACATACAGCATTTTCATGGTTAATATGAGTGGAATACATTAGTTTCAGCTTACATTGTTGGATTTCCATAGGTTTAAGTTCTGAAGCTAGATCCAAGAAATAAATACAATGTTGAAATAGGAATGGATTGTCTACTTTCCTACCTGGGGAAAAAGGGCATTATATAACCTGTGCCATGCATTTGGGGGAGACTAGGCTTGGCAAGACTAGCCTTGGGCTTGCCTTCAACTCTCTCAACCTCATTTTGCTTTTACTGAGATATCAGGGCTGCCCTTCAGCCTTCTGCATAGAATTTGCAAACAGGCATAATCAGGCGATATTTATGTATGTATGTATGTATGTGTTTGTTTGTTTGTTTGTTTGTTTGTTTATGACACTTAAATCCAATGACCCCTGAAAACAAAATTCAATTGCAAGAAAATGAAATGCCCCCCAAAAAGTAAAATTTAATGATGTAGTTACAAGTGAATTTTAAGACACAAAGAAATATAAAAAGTGCATAAAAACAAACCACAATGCAGGAACTAAAAATTTCAAGATGAAAACTCTGAAATTAAATTAAGATTTGAGGAAAATATATATTCATGCACACTGTAAAAAGAGTTAAAAAGACACAAAGTATTTTTTACATTAAAAGGCAACAAAAATCAGAGCGACAAAATATATCTACACAAAAAGTTTACACAAAGAGCACTACAACAAAAATTGAAACCATAACACGAGAAACCAAAATATAATATCGAGTGGGAGTGCATGCTTAAAAAGGACAATACAAAGACACATACAAAATGTTTTACAGAGCACAACAAGAATTCAAAAACAAAGCCCCAAACTCAAACTGGAACGTGAAATCCAATGCAAGGAAATACAACAATAAGAGCTGAGACAATTATTAATGAAGATAATGTATGTACACAAAAAGCAAAATTAAAAAAAAAAACAATGGCTGCCTTGTGCTTGGTGAGCTGATGCCAATTTCTTGATGTCTGGAACCATTTTTTTTAATCTCATTCTTAAATCGCCGCACTCGGTGATCTTCAACATGTTCCTCGGCTTGGAAAGGATCTGTTGGACAGCGCTGAAGCCCCTTTCCACTAAGTAAGTGGATGGAAAGGCTAAAATAAGCAATTTAACTACCTCCCACAATATTGGGTAAGTGTTCCTCATTTTCACCCAAAAAGGTTCGTAGCCATAACTCTGAAAATGTGATTGGGCGTTCACAGTCGTATTTCAAATCTGTCAGTGGCTCTTGAAGTTTGGGAAATTGGGAAAGGAGTACGACAAGGCTATATACTGTCCCCCTACTTATTTAACTTATATGCGAAATGCTAGACTGGAGGAATCTCAAATTGGAATTAAGATTGCCAGAAGAAATATCAACAGCCTCCGATATGGAGATGATACCACTCTGATGGCAGAAGGTGAGGAGGAATTAAAGAACCTCTTAAAGAGGGTGAAAGAGGAGAGTGCAAAAAATGGTCTGAAGCTCAACATAAAAAAAAAACTAAGATCATGGCCACTGGTCCCATCACCTCCTGGCAAATAGAAGGGGAAGATATGGAGGCAGTGACAGATTTTACTTTCTTGGGCTCCATGATCACTGCAGATGGTGATATCAGCCACAAAATTAAAAGACACCTGCTTCTTGGGAGGAAAGTGATGACAAACCTAGACAGCATCTTAGAAAGCAGAGACATCACCTTGCCAACAAAAGTCCACATAGTCAAAGCTATAGTTGTACCAGTAGCAATGTATGGAAGTGAGAGCTGGACCATAAAGAAGGCTGACCACCAAAGAAATGATGCTTCTGAATTGTGGTGCTGGAGGAGACTATTGAGACAAAGTGTCTTGTAGATGGAAAAATATGGTGATACAGTGGTGCCCCGCATAGCGAGGTTAATCTGTTCCGGATTAACCCTCGCTATGTGAAATCGTCGCTAAACGGAATGTAAAAGCCCATTGGAACGCATTAAACATCGTTTAATGCGTTCCAATTGGCCCTAAACTTACCGTTCAGCGAAGTTTCCTCCATAGTGGCAGCCATTTTCGCGCCCTCGGTAAGCGAGGGGAGGGCGTGAAAATGCTGCATGCGGACATTTCGGGCGTCAGGCGGCCATTTTAGAACCGCCAAACAGCTGATCGCCCGACTCTGTGGGAGGTTTGGGGGGTCGGCAGCAAGAGGAGGAGAAGAGGGAAAGGGGGGGGTAAAGGACGCGCAAATGCGCGGCTTCCCTCCCTTCGCCTGCCTGCCTTGCAGCCTGC